GACACCTGCGACGAATCATGGGGCGTCATACTTTCACATTGTCTGAACAGTTCGCCACATCTAACGGATTATCGACCTGCGTTAGCAAGCGGGTATCTTCTCCGCCGCAAGGGTCCGACTGACGCCGACGGCGCATTTGCAATGAACGTGAACCTAATCTATTCGCAAAAACCTGCTTCTTCATATGAAAATCTTCTCAGAGATATCATCGCTAGGTATCGCGACCTCGCCACTCTCGCACGGGCCAGGGGTACGCGAACTGTGCAGCAAAATACCTTTCCATGGCATATTGCGACAGCGGTTAGGGCGCAGGAACTATTGAGCTACATTCTGTGAGACTACTGGTCGAATATTTAGCGGCGCATTAGGGTATATAAACGGCGTTCAGGGCTTGTGTTTTGGCTGGCCTTTTCTCTGTACATAACTGATTCTCATGATGGCTCAGACAAGGCGGGATATACCACTGTGCGAGAATGATTTCCTTCTTTACTTGAATGACTCTCCTTCTTCCTTAATCTCTGTTTCTAGCACTTGAACACTTCGCTGTAAATACGTTGGATTCCCTTGTCCTTGTTCTCTTACCCGCTGAAAGAGGACTTCGAATTTCATTCTACCTTTATCCTCTTTGTCTCATGTTCGAGCCTACTGAGCATCTCCTCAGCTGTCTATTAATGGCTCTGGCCATGTACACCAATGAGCTCTCCAGTGACTCATCATCTATAAAGATGAGCATAAAATAGCTGGTTGATATGCGCGGCAAGACGCCGTATCACGAAGATGTATATCGTCTGGGTCTCATCGAAGGAATTTCCCACTCTCGAAGATACAGATTTGATCGCCATTTCAGACGAATCTAAATACCTTTGACCTACTTGCAGGGAACAAATAAAATTCAGTGAAAACCCTGCTCCTTTTTTTGGCTCATCTGAGTGTCTGACTTCTGAGTCGATGCAAGATATGGATGCAGAGAGCCGATAAGATCACCTGATTCTTATCATCTCGGACTATTTCGAAAATTTTGAGAGTTTCAAGCTCCATGCCAATACAATCGATTCGTGTGATTTGATCATTCTCAGCCAGAAAAAAGCCGCAATATCACTGGCTAGTGTCGCTCTTTTTGATTAAATCGAATCACGCAAAGAAATATCCAAATTCCCTCTCGAATCGCTTCCCCAGACTACAAACACGATCAGTTTCCCCCCCGCACGAAATCCCACCATCAACAATCGAGAACTCAGTTCCCACAAACAAGGAACCATTACAAGCGCAGCCGCAACGTCGATTCGCCCGCATTACAACCCACAATGGCCCAACCAGCGTCCTCGTCGAACCTGAGCCAAGCAGAGCAGCCCACCACCGCCGCCGCCTACCTCGATCTGGGCATCACCCTCACAATCAACAACTGGCCAGCGCTGACCATGGCCGTACAATCGAACTGGGGCGGCCCAACATCATCCGACAAGCGCGACTGGCTCTGTGGCGCCATATCGGACATGATCAATGAGCGGCCCGAGACAGACGCCCTGGACCTTGAAGACGTTCTGATCCAGGTGATGAACGATGAATTTGATGTTGTGGTAGATGATGAAAGTGCGGCACCTGTTGCGGCGCAAATCATGGCGATCCGGGAGCAGACGGCGAGGGGGGAGTTTGGCTTTGTGCAGGAGCTGTGGGAGACGTGGCAGAAGAAAGCTCAGCAGAAGGGGAATAATGTGGCGGCGGCTTTCAAGCGGGTCGAGGCTGAGGATGATGAGGACACCGATGACGAGGAGGATGAGGATGAGGACGACGAGGATGTCGATATGGGTGAGGCTCCTGCTTTGGTACGAGCGCCTAGGGAGCGGGTTGAGCCTGAAGTCGACGAGGACGGTTTTACTAAGGTCGTTGGGAAGAAGAGGAGGTGATCAAATTACGTTGTTGATACGCTTGGTCTTTTGTAGTTTGGCAGTATAATGTCCTAGGATAGACATCGGGCATGAGTTGACATTACGACTTACGACACCTACCCAGCAGATGAGAAATAGCTGGAGATAATATAAGATTCCAATCACTTTTATCATCTCCAATGGTCTCAGAGAGCAATAAGTTCTATACGAAAATGACAAGAAGAAAGATTCATCATCATCAACCGAGGTAGGGCACCATAGGGATATCAACAGCAAGCCTCCGCCCCCTATCTCTTGGTTCTCGAGCCAAGAAAGGTCGTGCACTACCCTACACTCGAAGAAATCTGGCTTGGGAAAAGTCGGGGTATTCGAGATTTGTGCACTTAGTTGTCTTCGTTAAGGATGAGTTTGGTAATCATACCAATGGCAATGGTTTGTCCCTAGCGTAAATGTTAGTGATGTGGGCCAAGGATAAAAGGTGGAAAACATCGCTTACCTGGTCTCTTAGAGTGAAACGTCCCATTTGACTGTAATCCTCGAAACGTTCAACACAAACGGCACCTGCGCTGCTGATGACCTCAAGACGAGCGATAATGGTCTGACCCTTGCTAGCGAATGGTGGTGGGCGCTTGCTCTTGCGTCCTGTGCCGGGCTCGCACTTATGCAGGAGTGCTGCGAAAGTGACTTCTTCAACGGCCGAGTGGACGTGCATGACACAGTTGTACCCAGCGGTAAGGATGTTCTTGAGCTCAAGGATACGGATCTTAGCCTCAAAAGCGGAAACGCAGTGCACTAGTCGCTTGGGAGAGCAAAGCACAAATCCAGGGAGGAGGTCTTCTTCTTCCACGCCTCTGAGACGCATACGGACTTGATCACCACAGGTTCCAGTGGGAATTTCGTCCTCAGTCTCACCATAGAGAGCAGCAATTTCGACCTTAGTGCGATTAGGCATCATGATGCAGGTGGCGTTCTTCTTGATAACACCAGCTTCGATACGACCCTCAACCATCGTTCCCATATCACGGTACTTCGTGCTCACGGGCATCATGAAGGGGGCGTTAATGTTGCGTTCGGGAGTCTTCATTTCAGCAAGATACTCCAGGAGAGATGGTCCATCGTACCATGGTGCAAGTTCCTTGGGAACACGATCCTTAATACCCGTAGTCTGCTGGGCGGAAATGGGCATGAAGGTAAGATCGTCCTTCTTGTAACCGAGAGCCTCCAAGAATTTGGAGACCTTAACTGTACACTCATCGAAACGAGCCTTGCTCCATTCGACCGTCGGGTCATCCATCTTGTTGACGGCAACAATCAGCTTCTTGACACCAGTGTTTCGGGCCAGCAGAGCGTGCTCGCGAGTCTGACCACCCTTCTCGAAACCAGTCTCGTATTCACCCTTACGAGCAGAGATGACAAGCACACCGACATCGGCTTGAGAGGCACCACCAATCATGTGGTGGACATAGGATTTGTGACCAGGAGCATCGAGGATGGAGAAGTGTCTCTCCACCGGACCGTCGGGAGACTGCACGGTAAGCTTGAAGTGGGCACGGCCGACCTCGACAGTTTTTCCCTTAGCTCGTTCTTCGTTGGTCAAATCAAGAGCCCATGAAAGATACCAGGTCTCTCGACCAGCCTCCTTTGCATCCCTCTTGTACTTCTCCAGTGTCCGCTCATCGACGTTGCCAGTAACGTACAGAATGGATCCGCCGAGGGTAGACTTTCCAGCATCGACGTGTCCGATGAAAACAATGTTAACGTGCTCCTTCTTCTCACCATAAATCTCCTTCAAGGTATCTTCGTCCACATCTGCCTGCTGCTCCAAGGCAACAGCATTGGCATCCCGACCAGTCTTGCCGCCTTCACCCCGAGATGGGCTGGATCTGCCGGGGCTCGACCGTCCGGAAGCAGAAGGGGCAGGCGACGATTTGCCACTGGCAGCTGCCTTCTGATCTGCCTTCTTTTCTGTCTTCTCAATAGCCTTAGTAGCCGTCACCTTGGCGGCCGCGTCGGCGGCGGCAGATCCAATAGTATCTCCTGGAGTCGTTGTGCCCGATGGGGTGTTCGACGCGGGAGAGGGAGTTCCAATAGAAAGAACCTTGGTTTTGGGGGCAGCAGAAGAGCTGCTAGCACCACCAATAGACAGAACTGGAGCGGCGGATGCGGTCGAGGCGGTCGAGGCGGGCTTGGGAGCGGTTTGGGCAGGCTGAGGAGGAGCTGTAGGTGCTTGAGTAGCTACCGGTGCCGCTTGACGAGGCTGCTGAGTGTATTGCTGCTGCTGCTGCTGCTGGTTGTAGCCACCATACTGGTTGTTGTAGATCTGGTTATAGCCACCAGGTTGCTGGGCGTAGGCCCCATATTGTCCATAGCCTTGCTGCTGCTGGTCGTAAGCGGGGTAACCACCGTACTGACCATACTGTGGGTATCCGCCGCCGTACTGCTGGTATGTTTGGCCGGGGACAAACGAGGCCGCACCAGGCTGGAAAGAGGCAGCCCCAGGCTGGAATGAGGGCGCTTGTGCCTGAGGGCGATATTGTGCGTGGGCATTCAGGTTTACGCCCTCGGTCTGCTTCGAGAGCTCATCTTCCCAGGAATCGGGGGTCTGATTGGCCATCTTGGGATCTCGTGAGAAGGACAACCACAAGGAAGCTGAGGAGAGCGAGGGATAGGTGAGGTTACAAGGACGACGCCGTCAAAGTGAGGGGCGCTTTTTGGGAGTATTGATTTTGCACCCGATGACTCAGCATTGTTTCCCCACCTTGGCGCCTGTCGCGTCTACTGCGTCTATGAGTTTGCACTGTTTGTTTGGGTCTTCTCCCCGCCAACATGGTGGGGTGTTCTCTTTCATAACAATCTGCTGAGGGAAAAAGAGTCCTAGGCGAAATAACTTTTGCTGGAGACTAGAAATTGACAGAAATATCTGACTTTCATGAGTCATTCATGCGGTGGAGCCACGCTGGGTGGCTTGTTATCGATAAGCCTTTGCCTTCAGGGGCCACACATCCCAGCTGACATCTAGATTGGCTTTCTTTTAGTTGTGCTTCATAGCGAATAAGAAGTTGAGAGTGGCCAACTCCACCACGAGTACAGCTGCCGCTTTGGCTGTCAAGCAAGATGGACGTCTTTCTGACCAGGGTATGCCAGACTTGTCTTTTGCGTGACAGAGTTCGATGTTGACACCTTGGTAGCTCACCCAGCAGGCAATGAACTATGCCATTCGGTATGGACTGATCGTTCCTGAAGCGGACTGACAGAGCATGTCCTGACTGTAGATTCTTTAGCTCAGGGATAGCCATAACTGCCAACTATGCGCTACGACAATCGTCTCGTCTGCTCAAGGTGAGCAGTAGCACGCCTGACGGCAGTCAATAGTATGATCAAAACTCACGTACTTCTCGTTCAGAATGTCGAGAACACTGAAGAAAGAGAAGAGCTCCTCGCTCTGCAGCAGAGGTTGCAAAGCAAAATCCAAGTCCGTCCTCTAATTCATGTGTTGGGTTCTTTGTACCTCATACTTACGTGGTGACCAGGTTATCTCGCCGGCCATTGATATGATTGAGTTGATGTATGCCAGTTAGATGAATTGTGAATGTAGATCAGCTAACCGCGGTGTCATTTTTAGCGCTGCTAGAGGCAACACGTCTTTAGAGTCTGCGGTTTCGCTCACGAAAACACTTCGATTGGATATGCAAGCCCTCGGGCAGCGATTAGCAAACGCAGCTGCCTCCGAGGAGTTGCTACGAAAAGGCGCAAAGTCTCCCAGAGACCGCTCACGTAATGATGCAGAGATCAAGCTCATCGTCAGAGACATCAAGAGGCTTCTGACACGAATTGAGGATGCAGTTCCGCTGATGAACTTGGCCATTACCACATCGGGGGCCAGACTATCAACCAATCTTCCAGCGACGGTGTCGCCATCCAGGTTGCTGCAAGCCAGTACTTTCCTTACTGCCGGTGACACTCAGTATTGGATGTCTCCCGCGCAAGCTATCCAAATTGGCCCTACCTTTACCTTATCGATATACATGCTCTTCGCGGGTCACGTTCGGCCCCAGGACGAAGAGGGCATTCGAGAAGCCACGTGGAAGGAGGTTATCCACAAGGCACGCGTGAAACTTCGGCGTGTGCCAATGGATCTTACGTCCAATACATCAGCTCCGACTTGGCGAGCTAAACTTCCGGCTGAGGCACGAATAGATGAATACCACTACCAAATGTTGATCATTGAAGATTTGGACGACGGAAGAGTGCATTCGTATGATGAAGATGAGCCACAGCCGGAGCCCTACGAAGGAATCCGCCTAGCTGGGATGCGGGAAATACTCCCGATCCACCAGATATCGAAGATCTTCTACGCGGATACGAGCAAAGTCTTAAATATCAATACAGAAGGCGAAGTCAACAACCCGGTGCTGCTATTGAAAAGAGATATAAATGCTATCCCTCCGCGGCGTATGCTCGAGCGCGACGAAACAGATTCAATTTATGCTCAAGAAGAACAGGATGAGGAGGAAACTGACGAAATCCAGGCGCAGCTGGATGCTCAGTTGAATGGGTCGAATGCTAGAGATCCATTGAATCAGAGTTACAACGAGAACTCTATCCCAGAACACTGGCGCTTGCCGAAAGATCTGGATCCTGAATGGATAGCATTCGAAGTCTATAACGAAGATGAGTCTTCGGACACTGAATCCGAAGCGGGGGCGCCAGATAGGGTGGACTCCATAGATCCACAGATGATGGCAAAGCTATCTCTTGATGCGAAGGACGACAGGTCCCGGCAAGGAACCCCAACCTCTTCACAACCCCCCGCCACAACGACCGTCTCGAACCCCCTCTTCAACAACATCCGAACCTCCCTCTCCCTTCTCGAGACACTTCTCCGCTTGATGTCATTACAACAGTTCCAGCAACAGTCCCACCTCTCTATTAGCGACGAACTTCTCAACTTTTTCCTAGAGGAATCATCCACTACTGGCGCCGGTGGTGACGAGCAACATCGCCAACGTCTCCGCGCCGACGCGAGACGCAGGGTTGGCTGGGATCCTTACGACGAAAGTCCTGTCAAGCGAAGAGGCGAAGATTATCAGTATGGCTGGGCTTCTGATGGGCCTCCAGTCGGTTATTCTCGCGAGGGAAGCGAGTATCCCTACACGCCGACTGACCGGTATCCGGGATACCATTTGCGCTCCCGCGAAAATACGCCAGAAACGCCGCTGCAATCCCGGCGCGCAGGTTCAACTAAGCCTGACACAAGGCGACAAAGTGCGATGCGGGGCTCCTCGGTTCTCGCCGATGAAGCGTCAAGTAGAGGTTCTCCTCTTTCCAGACGATCGACTCCAGTAGAAGATACTGGGCGCGGGGCTTGAGAAACATCATGATTAATATACGATTATGAGGATGTCATGCAAATGTAGCGAATAGAGAATGTTAAAACATGCGCTCGTAAGGGCAGCGAATAAATTGGTAGATATATTAATAGCTATGGACAATCATTTCCGTGCCAATGGTGAAGCATACGAGATGCCCAGATAATAGGGGAAGCAAGTAAAGTGATTGATATCAACAGATAACCGCTAAGAGCTAAATTGAAAGCAAAGAAAACCCATAACACCAGGGAGTATCAAAGACAAACGCCATAACTCTTCTCAAAACACCTGGACGGTGGGCCCAAAAGAGCTGGAAAACAGACGCTATTGAGAACAAGGGGTAAGACATCAATGGAGAACATAACCAAGGCGATGTGTATCAGCTGCTCATTCCCAGTCTTCGTCGCTGTCGTCGTCTTTGGCCGCAGTCGTTGGGCTCTTCTCCTTCGGGCTGCCAGGCGCACGACTGGTGGTGCCACTGACGAGATCATAGCTGGATTCACTGTCCGGTTGAGACTGTTGGTCGTTTGAGCGCCGGGGCTCGTCAGGTTTGAGCAGCTTACTCTTGTCAACAGTGGGAATCTGGGTTGTATTATTTGTCTTGACCTGAGGAGTAGAGGGAGAGTCGGTGTCATCCTCGGAGTCGTCGTCCCAAGCAACCTCCTCCTCCTCATCCACATTGGCGCCTGCAATGATTTCTTGTCAGGAATTTCGGTAAAAAAGCAAGGTGGGATGACCAACGACAAACCTTTAAGAAGTTCCTTGCGCTTCTGCTCTTCGGTCTCGATCACGAGGCGGAGGAAATAGTACCGAGACCAGAAGGTTGCATAGTCGACCTGCTCAGGAACAAGCTTTTCCATGGCTGATCGCAGCTCGGGGTACTTCTCCAAATCTGCGGCGATCGCCTCGGTCTTGTTGTCTACGTTGAACTCCTCCTTGAACGAGGCCCACTTGTCACTGACAGGGTCCTTGGTGAAGCTCTCTATGTTGGAATGGATAACATGCAGCTGCGCCTCAAATCGGGTCGCATGAATAACTCTTTTCCCCTCGGCATCTTTACTCTCGAAAAGGATTTTGTTTGACGACTCCGCGTCGGGCGGCAAAATGCTGACCGCATCCCGCAGCTTTTGACCAATAGTCATACCAAAGCGCAGGATCGCTTCATCCGCAGCTTCCTCAGCCTTCTCGATCTCCTTCAGTCGTCTTGCAGCCTCTGCTTTGAATCGGGAGAGGAAACCTTCGCTTTCGCCCGCGTCGCTGGGCCCCTGTTCCTGACTTTCTCCCTCTCGGGAAGCAGTTGGCGTCGGTGTCTCATCCTTACTTCTCTCCGACGACCCAGAAGCAAAAGCTGTACTTAGCGACAGACCTCGCGTGCGTCCAACGATAGTCTCTTTCAAGTCCGATAGGCCCTTGGCGGCCTCCTCGCTGGCCGCGGCGTACTCTTGCCTGGCTCCTTCGTAGTAACTCTCGCCTTGTTTGCGGACATTATCCCACAGCCCACCAATCTTTAATCCCCAGGGGCTCGCGGAAAAGGCGCGGAATGTCTCTTGCAGTTCGGTGTTGAGGTCGACGTTGGTTTTGGAGTCGTCTTGTGAGCCTTCTTTCTTCGATGACTCATTGGTGGAGAAGATCTCCTCTTGAATATGATCGTATGCGATATCCATGGCTTTCTTGGCGAGTCAATATCGCAATAAAAGAGGCGATCAGTTCTGCTGAAATGATTTGAAAGAGACCGTCCTCGATGACGGTTGCGGAGGAGTTGCGGTAGCTGCTTGTTGCTGGTGGATCTGCATAGCGCTTCCGTCCGGGCCTTCGGGGCGTACGACGGACCGAACAATCATGAGATGCCCCACTGAGGGTTCCACCTTGAAACACTTGAGGATATTTACTACTACGAAGAGAATCAAGAACAAGTTATAGATACCAGACTGATCATGAATGTATGTGTGCATTTCGTAATTCGTCACATTAAGCAATGTACTATGTATCTGTCAAGCTGTAGGGTTCTCCAACACTGTCCTGACTGCCCATCCAGAAACCAGGCACAGGAACACTCTCCATGACGCTGGAGGTGAGAAGTTGGCTGCGGGACAGCATACCCCTAGGACGAGAATCTTCATCTGGATCAGCCTGCCTTTTGAGGCGATCCACTATTTGTGAAGATTCGACCTGTACCACGCTCTGAGCCCGCTTTTGAGGGAGTATAGCATCACCCGTACTCGTGCAGTCTCCGTGCCGTGTGACAGGCGAGGATTCCGGGATCATCTCCGTCGAATATTTGTCCAGGTCTTGAGTCTGGCTCTGCGTCTGCGTCTGCAAGGAGGGATCAGATAATGCCTGAACCTTGTGAGCGGACGACTTAGTGCACGATGTCTCAGTCATGGTTCGCTGAATGCTGGATTCCTGTGGGAAAAGCTCCGCCAACTTCTGGGTACTCAGCGTAGGTATGGGTTCTAGTGGGAATTGAGTGGCAGGCTGTCGTCTTTGATATAAGATTGATGCCTCGGATGACAGATTGGTTTCAGAATGTAAAGGCCCAGGCTCAACTTCCAAGCCAGGATGTGATATAGGTGGAGGGAGGTCTTGGGAGTCACTGAATGGTGATCTGTCTTCACCCTCGTCGTCTTCATCCTCAAATGGTATCGCATTCGGCTCGTCATTCGGCCCAGCCACTATCGGCTCATCATCACTGTAGTCCGTTTCGGCGTCCGTTTCATATACCACTGTTCTCTCCGTACTCGGTGGAGGTTTGTCAGGTTCCGGTTTCTTCTCCAACTCGGACCCTGAAGCAGACGGTCCTTTTGCTGAATCCGATTGTGTCTCTTCAACATCAAAATTCGTTTCGTTATCAACAGCCAGCTCGGACGGAGATTCAAAATCGGGTATCATGGTAGGCGGCAATTGACATTCAGGCATTGACACATGCATGGCGCTTATATTTGTCTGGTTCAAACTAGGCGATTCTTCTTTGATGGTAGAAGTGGGCTTGGTCGATAAATCAAGGTTGGGAGGTGATCGAGTAGCGTTTCGAAACTGTGACGATGAAATAATCGCAACCCCAGGACTTTCGGGTGACTGAGAGGAAGGTATTTCAGATTTCCATGGTTTCCGCGGCGTCTTCGGGCTTCCTTTCAAGACTTTCTTTTCCGGTGTCGACGTACCGGACAAGACTCCTTTCATATCGTCCTCAGCCTCCAGTTTCCTCTTCTTGCTCGAGCTTAAGGATTCTTGGGCTGCGGCATCCTCAGTGGGCGCAGACTCAAGCCCACGAGTGAGTTTTCCTTCGACTCTCTGGCTATCATTCTTCTTCGGAGTGATATAGGTATACTCCAGCTTCACTTCATCATCGGGCTCGATCTTCAGGTAACGCCGCACGTAATCCATCTGAGTGAGTGTCTTGTCCTTTTGCTGCTTCTCCGTCTTCTTCTTGCTGCTCTTGACGCTTTCGATACTCTTTCTTCCGAACCGCTTTTCGGCTGAACCAGCTTGACCTGTACTCCTTCTCAGACCCGATGCATTGGGCGCAGCATTTGATCTTCTTTCGGTGTCCCCGGTACGCCGTGCCCGTATATATGACGTTGGTTGATAACTAGCATCATCATCGGAATTGTCATCTAACTCGATCACCTGGCGACTATTCGGGTTAATATCTGGAGCGGCATTATTGATGTAATCGAGATTGTCATCATCATCGGATTCGGCGTTCTGTATCCTCGGTGTCACAAAATCAATCTGTGTAAGAGTTGGTTGATCGCTGGAGAGCAAGCTTCCTTTCCAAGGCTTAGACGCTGAGGCTGAGGATATTGGAGTGTCACTGTGCTTTTTTGATGTTGTCGTTCCTTTTCGCGTACTAGAGGTGGTGGAAGAACTTGATATAGGAGGCTTGTTCGGCGTTCGAAATTGTTCCTGGGCAGATTTTGCGTTTGTACTTGGCCTGTCACCTTGTCTCATCGCAGATCGAAGAAGCTATATCAGTATTTGAGGAACTAAAAACGAAATAAGACCATAAGTCCAGAGTAGAGTTGCGGCTGCGGATGGGTCACAATGCATGAAGCTTTCTTATCGGCGGTTCGCGTCGTTGACGCGTCTGATCCCATATGACACCGATAGTGGTCTGTGCACTCATATATCCAGTTCTAGGCAACACTCGTCTAGGTAATTATAGTAATAATTCAGACTATCTGTCAGCTCTACAGTAATAGGGTATCTATTGACAAACTGCCTGTACATGGAGGTACACATAATCATGAACTAAAGATCCAAAATCAGACGAGCTCATACTAGCCACTCTGGAATCGCATCCTCATCTTCAGGATCATGAGACAACAATGACCCATTGTCATCAACTCCAGATGTCTCGTCTATTTCCTCTGGCGTGGGAGTTCGCGACTGGATTTGCGATGCTGCCCGCGACAGTATCTCAACACTAGCTGATTTGGAGCCGCCTGTTGTTGAAGAGTCGACCATGATGGGAGCTTCCGATGAGCCTGCAGGGCCAGTCTCCCCAGAGCTCTTAACACTCTCAGCTTCTGCCGCTGGGTCAAGCTCCACAATCTCAGGAGAATTTTGTTGCTGCTGTTGGGGTTGCCGTTGGGATGTGCCGTTCTCATTGCTGTCTGCATTCTTATTAGAAACGACGATAAGGCTATAACGAGGACGTCTTGATGGCTTGGGAATGTCCTTTGCGGAAGGATTCACAGAGATTGCTTCTATGTGGCTGGCACTCTCGTCAGATTTGAGTCCACCACGGTGGGGTTCATCTCCGAGGACTCCATTATTTGTCGATGCTTCATTGTATGTATGTCCTCGAGGCTCTTGTTCGGTTGATCGTTGATAAGTCGAAAACTGTCCTGTGTCGGCCATTTCCTGCTCTGGTTCGGGAATAAATCCGCCACCGGCTTCCTCTGGATCCTCGTAGTTTTCAGAGATTTCACCAGCGCTCTCTTCTCCTTCAATGGCATAGCTTCTGACCCTTTCTGCAATTCGCAGTTTTAGAAGAA